TCAAGCATAAGATCATAAATAACTCACCAATAACATGAATGAAATTGCAACTCAATAAATATTTCAATCAAACAATAGAAAAACATGATTAATCTATGAAAGATCTAATAAAAATTAAACCAATTTCAAAATCAATTCATAAGGAGAAAGTCTAAAATCTAGAATTGTTTGACAATAAAATACCAAATTACATGAGCAATTGATGTGATTTTCCCAAATCCAATGAGTTCCTTCCAAGCTTCATCAATGGTTTTAGTTCTTCATGGAACTCTTGAGCCAAAAACCAAAGAAAATTGATGTGAGAATGAAGAGAGGCATTCTCTATCCAGTTTAGGGCTTAAAACTGTGTGCCAAGTTGTTTCAATAAGAGATTGAACTGAATAAGGAAACTAAATTTTTGGCTAGAATATTCTGTGTGACTACTTTCAGTATTTTGACCATAACTTTCTCTCTCGATATCCAATTAAGACAATTCAAAGTGTGTTAGAAAGCTAACACAAAGGGTTACAATTTTCCTCAGTAACGTTTTCAAATTATGATGTTTACTAGGTTAAAAGTGGATTTCAATCTCCAGCTGAAAATTTAGAAAATCTTTATGCGGTTGAAATTTGATTTGTGAATATGTTATGGTCATATTTAACTTCTTTTGACTTCTAATTGCACCCAATGAACTTCTAGCTTTCTTGAATCATCATTCCATTGCCCATCTCATCTTTAGATTATTTGCAACTTGGTACCTAAACTTTCACTTTCTTCCATTTTGGTCCTTTTTCGCTCTTTTCTTTCAAATTTCACCTTTTCTATCAAAATGCAACATGAATCAAATCATAAGTATAATGAGTGTATCTTGCTATCAAATAATCAGACCAATGTAATAATTAAGAGGTGAAAATATTATATTTTTACACTCTTATCACACTCCCCAACTTGATTATTGCTAGTCCCTAGCAATTTAATGCAGAATAAGCAAATGAATGATTATATTATGATACAAGTGAAATTATTAAGTTTCAACTTAATCGCAGTTCATGTTCTTTTCACACTCAACCCTACAAGAACTTAACAGTGCCATGATCATCAAGATATCAAAAACGCTTACCAAATGTGTGAGTGTGTGTCAAGCCATAGCCATCTTACCGCCAACCCTAACAAATGCAACAATAAGTATGTCTCAAGCTGAAGGTTCAACCCCATAACTCATGGGTATCAAAGTGTTTAGTGCGATTTTCTCTTATGGAGCTAAGAAAGATACACTCTCAGAACGTGGAGGCTTAAAATTTAGGAACAAGCAACAAGCAAATATTGATCACATGATAGACACTATCAACTGAGAATTCATCAACTTCTTACCACAACCCTACTTAAGATCAAAACAGCCAATGCAAAGGGTGTGAAAAGGGTTAAGTTGGATTACATGAATAGTAAGGCAGAAAGAATTTAAGGACTTCCAAATATCTAGCTAGGCATCTCAACAAGTATTTCAACATATCAACATCAACGCATTCCTCAACCCTTCAATTCTCAACAGCAATTCACTTTTCTTTTTCTTTTTCTTTCTTTCTCTTTTTTTTTATCAACTTTTCGTGATTTTTTTTTTTTTTTGAAATTCCCCTTCTTTTTCTTTTAAGATTCATCACTTCACTTGAGCACTTATCAACTCTCATCATTTTTCTTCATTGCTTTTCTTCTCAAATGACATTCAATACCTAGTATACACTTGGAAGCATAAAGGTTTGAAAAATGAATGTTTATAGACTTTATTCCAATATGAAGAGGTATGGATAACATAGGCGCATGAAAAGAAATGGTTATATATGTTTTGGCTCAAAGTAGCTACTAGGAAATTAAAATTATGAGAAGAGAAAAACTAGTCTGAAGGCTCAACTTCAGTCCTAAATTGACTGTTATCATTTCCCAAGTATAATCCACTGTCTTACCACATATTGTGTAATGTTATTCTCCGAAGAAGTTTTCAATTCACAAAATCAATGAATGTTTATTACCATTTTTAGTATATATGGCTCTCAATCTTCACCAATTCTCTCACAAGAAAACTCCAGAAAGAGACTCCTCTAACTTCATGTGTTAAACCACTATCTTACCACAATGCTTATGTGCACAAAATGATTCGGCAAGTGTCTCAACATCTAGACTCACATGAACAGTATCAACTTCTAGTGACATATTTTGTCATTCAAGAACATGAACATGTAGCAAATAGAGATTTAAGGAAAAATTTTAGACCAATTTAGTAAAACAAAACTAACTTTCCATAAATATCATGTAATTCACAAGAAAATTTCAAATACACTCTCCCCCTAACTAAATATTGCATTATCCTCAATGCAAAAATATGTCGACCAAAAGAGGGGAAAGATGTTACATGGATATTGCAGTAAATCATCAGAAGCTTGAATATGGTGGACCTGAAGGTTCTCAATGGAAATGGGTGATACAAGAAATGAAAATAAATTGAAAGAAAAATGAAAACATACCTAAAAGAAAAAAAATCCAAAAACTAGTATAGAAAAAGGGTGAAAGACATACCTGAGGGTGTCATGAGCAGTAAACTGGGTCTACCAGGGAAATTTCTTCCACTGCAGGCACCTGTTGCCCATAGGCTATTTTAAGTCTCTATCCATTCACCTTGAATACCCTACCATCATTGGGATCTTCTATTTCAATAGCCCCATTTTCAAAAACTCGTGTCACCACAAATGGGCCAGTCCACCGAGAACGGAGTTTTCCTGGATGCTTATGAAGTCTAGAATCATACAAGTACACTTTTTAGTTCGGTTCAAAAGTTTTTCTAAAAATATTTTTGTCCTGAAATGTTTTCATTTTCAACTTGTAGATTCTAGAACTTTCGTAGGCATCATTTCTTAGTTCCTCCAGTTCACTCAATTGAAATTTCCTATGTTTACCTCCCTCTACTAGATCAAAGTTGAACTGCTTTATAGCCCAAAGGTCTCGGTGCTCAAGCTCGACAAGTAAGTGACAAAGCTTTCCAAAGATAAGCCTATAAGGTGACATGCCAAAGGAAGTCTTAAAAGCTGTGTTGTAGGCCCATAGTGCGTCACGTAGTCTCAATGACCAATCTTTACGATTGGGGTTCACCGTCTTCTCCAAACTTTGTTTAATCTCCCTATTGGCCAACTCTACTTGTCCATTAGTTTGGGGATGATAAGCGGTGGAAATTTTGTGAATAATCCCATACTTTTTCATCAGTGCCTCAAATGAACGATTGTAAAAGTGTGCATCATCACTAATAATGACGCGTGGTGTGCCAAACCGCGACAAAACATTTTCTTTAAGGAACTTAACAACTGTTTCATTGTCATTGGCCCTAAAAGTAGCTACCTCTACACATTTATACACATAATCAACTGCCACAATGATATAAAGGTAGCCAAAAGAAGGTAGAAAGGGTCCCATAAAGTCGATGCCACAACAATCAAACACTGCATTTACCGAAATGGGATTTAAAGGCATCATATTACGTTGAAAAGTAGCACCTAGTTTTTGACACCTCTCACAAGATCTACAATAAGTATCAGTATCTTTAAAAAAAAGTAGGCCAACAAAAACCACATTGTAGCGGTCTTTTTCATAGAAAAGTGGCCTCCACAAGCTTGGATATGACAACAATCTAGTATACTATGTATCTCCTCATTAGGAACACAACGTCTTAAGATTGGTCAGGGCAATACTTAAATAAACAAGGGTCATCCAAATAAAAGTTACGTACCTCAACTAAGAACTTCCTCTTATCCTGTGTGCTCCACTCTTTTGGAATTTCACCTATAGCTAAGAAATTTACAATGTTAACAAACCAGGGTAAAGAGACAGAGAACAGATTCTCATCAGGAAATCCATCTCTAGTTGGCACAGTGTTTGAGGTGTCTTCAAATGTCAGTCTTGGTAGATGGTCTGCTACGACATTTTCCACTCCCTTCTTGTCCTTGATGGTGATGTCAAATTATTGCAAAAGTAGAATCCATCGTATTAATCATGCCTTAGCATTCTTCTTTGCAAGAAGATACTTAAAGGCTGGATGATCTGTGAAAATAGTAATGGGAGAACCAATGAAATAGGATCGAAACTTATCAATGCAAAGACTACAGCTAGCAACTCTTTTTCAATAGTGGAATAGTTCATTTGAGCACTATTTAGAGTCGTACTAGCATAATGAATCACAAAAGGCTTACCTTCCTTTCGTTGCCCAAGAATAGCACCTACCGCAAAATCACTAGCATCACACATAATTTCAAATGGTTATGTCCAATCAGGTGGTTGCATTATAGGTGCGGAGGTTAGTTTACCAATCAACAGTTCAAAAGCATTTTGACATTCAGGCTTCCATTCAAAAGTCAAATGTTTGTTAAGCAAGTTACATAGGGGTTTAGTTATAGATGAGAAAATGTGTATAAACCTCTTATAAAGACCTGCATGACCAAGAAATGAACTAATGTCCTTTACTGTCTTAGATGTGGGTAGTTTAGAAATCAATTCAATCTTAGATTTATCAACCTCTATCCCTTTTAAAGAAATGACATGTCTTAAGACAATAACGGAAGGCACCATGAAGTAACCCAATTCAAAACTAAGCCTTTTTCTTCACATCTAGCCAAAACTCTCTTCAAATTCAACAAACATGCATCAAAAGAGGTTCCAAACACAGTTAAGTCATCCATAAATACTTCCATATAATCATCTACCATGTCACTAAACATACTCATCATACATATTTGGAAGGTGGCAGGGGCATTACAAAGTCCAAATGGCATCCTAAGAAATACATAAGTACCAAAAGGACATGTGAATGTGGTCTTTTCCTGGTCCTCTAAAGCTATTTCAATTTGATAGTAACCAGAGTATCCATCTAGGAAGCAATAAAAGGAATGACCAGCTACACGTTCGAGTATTTGGTCCAGAAAAAGGAGAGAGAAATGGTCCTTGTGAGTAGCAACATTTAACTTCCTATAATCAATACACATGCGTCAACCAGTTACTATACCTACTTCATTTTTAACTACCATGACACCTGACTTCTTAGGGACCACATGTGTAGAACTAACCCATTTACTATTCGCAATTGGGCCAGATTTATTCTCATTCAAAATGCTCAAAAGCTGTTCACATTGCAAAGCATTCAATTCTGAAGAAATAATTACAGGAAAGGTATCACGTAGTCCAAGAAATACATGTTTCAGTCCTGGGAGTAGTTGTTTCAATTCTAGCTTAGGGCTCTCGATGCTCAATGGTTTTTGTCCTCCAGTCATTTCAAGCAATTCTTCAAACTTGGGTTGCCATGGCAAAGTCCTATGGTCCTGTAATTTTGCAAAAACAACACAAATATTAGTATATTCATCAATATCAAAACCAATTGAGATTTTATAGTTTAGGAGAAAAGAGTTCAATGGATCATAATCAATTTTTGCAAATGCTTCCTCCAGTGTTAATGCATCAATAATGTAGGTTTGATGAGATTCATCTTCTTCTCTAGGTTGCTCGGTGACATGAAAATTATTAACTTCTAGAGACATATTCCTAAAAGAAAGCTTCATCAGACTATTCCTGCAATTGATTAGAGCATTAGTTGTAGCAAAGAAAGGTCTACCAAGTATAATTGGGATTTTAGAGTCAACATTTACCTCAACCTTCACATCTAGTACCAAGAAATCAATGGGGTAGTAAAATTTATCAATCTGAACTAGCACATCCTCAACCGCTCTCTTAGGTCTTATGGTAGACCTGTCAGCTAATTAAGGACCACTGAGGTAGGTTTCATCTCTCCCACACCTTACAACAGGTATATAGCATAACACGAGGTTAACACTAGTTCTTAAATCAAGAAGGGCTTGTGTAAACTCATGGTTCCCAATGACACAAGAGATGGTAGGACAACTAGGGTCGTTATACTTTGGTGGGATCCTCTGCTCTGTCACAGCACTCACCTGCTCTGTAAAGAAAGCGGTTTTCTTGACGTGATGTTTTCTCTTCACAGTGCATAAGTCTTTAAGGACTTAAGCATATGTAGAAACTTGAGAGATCACATGCAAAAGAAGCAAATTAATTTTTACTTGTTTAAGATGCTCTAGGATTTCATTGTGTTGAGTGGTTGACTTCGAGGTGGATTTGAGGGCTTGAGGGAAACGTACCCTAACTGGAACTTTTACTACTTCTTCACTGGGGCTACTCTCATTAGGCTCGCTTGATTCTTTTTCATTCTCCCTAGATTGAATGGCCGGTTCAATGACTTTCCCAGATCTAGTGGTTATGGTATTTACTTCCTTAAAGTTGGTCTCTCCTGATCCCGAAATTTGTGTCATGTGTTGACCCTTTGGATTTGGTTGAGCTTGAGCTGGAAATTTCCCACGTTCTCCTACAGCTAAGGCATTGGTTAGTTTGGAGACATGATTCTTTATCTCTTTATTTTCCTTAACTAACTGGTCTCATAGTCTCAAATTTTTTATTTGTTTTACCCTGTGTCTCAATAAATGAATGTAAAGTATCTTCTAAGGAATTTCTAGAGGATGTGGGTTGATGTGGGGGTGCATTGTAAGCTCTATTGGATTGGGCAGGTTGTTGGTTTTCAGACTTCCAGTTAAACTTGGGGTGATTTCGCCACCCTGGGTTGTAAGTCTCGAGGTAAGAGGCATAGGGCTTTTGATGCCTAGAGCATTGCAGTGTCCCTCATAAAGTTCCCTCATTTCAGCATGAGTCGGACACTCCTGTGCAAGGTGACCACTCTCTCCACACACAAAACAAGGCTCTAAAAACTCAACACGGGAAACAGATCGAGTGATTTTTGAATCCTTAGCAACGATGCCAAAATTTGATTACGCCCAAAGTATGACATGGTAATTGTAGTATAGCCTTAGGGTGTCTATTCCATAGGGAGATGGGAAATGCTCAAAGGATCAGAAACTTAGTGGTTTCGAGAATTATGTGAAATTAGTTTATCAATTTGGAATGAAATTTAAATATCAATATGTGAAATTAGCGAATCATTAGAATTCTCTCAATTGGGTTGGATCGATCAACATCAACAATTCATGTATTGTTACTCAATTAGAGGTTTTCATCCCAACTCTCTAATTGGAAATTTTAACAGTAAAAATCACTTTAGTTCCAATTGTAATTCTAAGATTTAGACTTTCTAACACATTCCCACAATTGTTGTTGGAGTAAGATCAAAAGTAACCATGTACTTCAACTATAAGATCATAAATAATCTACCAATAACATGAATGAAATTGCAACTCCAGATTTGTTTGACAATAAAATACTAAATTACATGAGCAATTGATGTGATTTCCCCAAATCCAATGAGTTCCTTCCAAGCTTCACCAAGGGTTTTAGTTCTTCATGGAACTCTTGAGCCAAAAACCAAAGAAAACTGATGTGAGGATGAAGAGAGGTGTTCTCTATCCAGTCTAGGGCTTAAAACCATGTGCCAAGTTGTTTTCAAAAGAGGTTGAATCGAATAAGGAAACTAAATTTTCGGCTAGAATATTTTGTGGGATTACTTTCAGTATTTTGACCATAACTTTCTTTTCCGATGTCAGATTAAGACAATTCAAAGTGTATTAAAAAGCTAACACAAAGGGCTACAATTTTTTCTTCCAAATTCCAATGTTTACTGGGTCAAAAGTGGACTTCAATCTCCGGCTAAAAATTTGGAAAATCTTTATGTGGTTAGAATTTGATTTGTGAATATGTTATGATAATATTTAACTTCTTTTGGCTTCTAATTGCACCCAATGAACTCCTAGCTTTCTCGAATCATCATTCCATCGCCCGTCTCATCCTTAGATTGTTTGCAACTTGGTCCCTAAACTTTCACTTTCTTCCATTTTAGCCATTTTTCGCTCTTTTCTTCTAAATTTCACATTTTCTACCAAAATGCAACCTGAATCAAAGCATAAGTATAATGAGTGCATTTTGGTATCAAATAATCAAACCAATGCAATAATTAAGAGGACAAAATATTATATTTTACACTCTTATCAGACCTTGTCATAGCCCTCGATTTACTATTTTTGTTTTTAAAATGTCGTGTAGCGATTAGGAAAAAGATCATTCACTATATAAATCAGAAGCAATTCTATCATTTTGTAGAACAATAGATGATAGAATATGACAAAGTAGTGAAATTTGAAACAACTTGACTTTGGACAAATTAAGTTTAATAACCAAATTGAAATTTCTCTAAAAGTTCAAAGATCACGAATGAAAACTTACCCTCTAAAGGAAATTTGATTCAAATTGTCAATATTTTGGGGTTAAAACATAACGATTGTGTTATAAGTTCTTCACCACTCACAGATTTATTTATTAATATATGATGTCAATTGTCACTATACATGATTGATCAAAATTTTATCGACAAACTCAAAAAGGTGTTTTTGCCACCTCACCAATCTGTAAAAGAATTTATAAATTGTGATATACAGCAATCATTTTTCAAATTAAAAAACCATAATTTCGTACTTAAACCTAGTTTCATCAGTTAGGCAGCTCCTTTAAAATTTATTTCAATTGGGTCATTACTCTTCAATTTAGTTTATGTAGGGTAACCAAACTTTAATTTAATTTCAAATTTCAGTGTTTCATGACTTACAATCTCCAAATTGATGAAATTTGTTTAATTGGAAGCCATATTGCTATGACTATTGGTATGTCAATTAACTATTACTCCATATTATAAATTTGTTTTAAAAAAATACAAATTTTAACCTAAAGATATCATAATAACTCATTTTACATTTTTTTTTCTCTAAATGGCCACATAACAATTACATAGGGTCATTAATTATAGGGATAATTGCAACAACGGTCCCAAATATTTCAATTTTTTACAAACTTTACCTTAACCTTCACATTGTCCCACCCACAATCCCAAACCTTTGAAAATTTAGCACCTATGGTCTAAATAGTCGAATTTCTGTTAGTTTGATCGTTAGTTGACCAAATAAATTTGACTTTGACCAATTTTAAAATGGGTAAAATGGTAACTTTGAAGTAAAAATAAAAATAAAAAAATCAAAATTAACTTTGAAGTAAAATCAAAATCAAAATTCAATCACTACTCATCTTCTCCCTCCCATACCCCATTTCCTCTTAAACCCAAAACCAGTTGGTTCCCTTTTAGGCCTCCCCACCACCACCAACTCCATTGCCCTTCTCCACTGACTTTGCTACTTTTCTTGCTAATATCTACTCCCTATTTCTCATATTACTTGGTCTAAGTCAATTTTGCTTTTGCTGAAAAAATAATGTTTTTTGTTTCCCCTCACTCCCTGCTTTCAACCATCGTCCAAAGCCACTGCCATTCCCCAACTTTCAACCATCGACCAAAACCATAATCCAAAATCACCACCATTCCCTTGCCTTTCATCCACAGTCGAAATCCACCACCATTCTCCAACCTTCAGCTGCCCATCAACACATATCGAAACCCCATCAACATCATCAAAATGACAGTCAAAACTTTGAGAAAATAGAAGTACCTTGGCTAGCTGTTGCCACCAAAAATTCACAGTAAAAAATTGTAGAAATTTTGAGATTAGATAAAAGAAATTAGTGATAGATTAGGTGAAATTACCTAATCTTTTGCCATTGTTATGTCAAAATCGAAATTGAAAAGTTGCAATTTTCCCTTGATTTGGATTATTGACCACCACTTTTTGTCTATTGAAATCCTTTCCATGGGCTTATGATGGTTGGTTGGTTTGGGTGAGAGGACAATTTTATTTTTTTTGAGTGGGAGGGGTGGGGTGGGAGGGGTGAGTAGGGTTAGATGGGTGAGTAGGGTTAATGTGGGCATAGGAAAGATGATGGGCTTTCATTTTAGCTTTTTTATTTTTTATTTTTTTACCTTATTTTAGGCATAAAATGCAAAGTTACCATTTTACCCATTAAGAATGGTTTAGATTTGGTCAAAGTCAAATTTATTAGGTTAACTAACGGTCAAACTTACATAAAATCATCCATTTGGACCCCAAAGTGCTAATTTTTTTTAAAGGTTTGTGATGTGCACAATTCTTGCAACATCTGATCTCGAACTCAAAAGCCTGATCCCGACCACCGTCAATTATCCAAGAATTAAGGTCGAGCTTCAGGATTTAGGTCGAGGCTTATGAGGTTATGAGGTTGGGCCATACATTAAGATAACGATTATCTTGTACTTATCTAGTAATTTTTACATGTATTAGTCATCCCATGACTCAATCATTCATCATTGTAGAATCCCGAATTTTTAACTTAAATTCGCATATATTTTTATTTGCCATTTAATAGGAATGCAATGTTTGGTTAAGTTCTTATGCAAGTTAATTGATTATCTCTATAGTTATCTTATTAGTTGAGGAACCAAATTAAAAAAAACTATATATATATA